AAAGCTTCAAGGGCAAGCGGTTATTCTTTCATGTTACGCTTACGCCAAATAGATATATCCTTCATGTAATAGTAATAGATTGTTTATCTCCCTGTATACCCTGTATACCCTGTATACCCATGTATACCCTGTATACCCATGTATACCCTGTATACCTATGTATACCCTGTATACCCTGTATACCTATGTATACGCTGTATACCCTGTATACCCTGTATACCCTGTATACCTGTATATGTATGCCCCTGTATACCCTGTATGCCCATGTATACCCTGTATACTTATGTATACCCTGTATACCCTGTATACCTATGTATACCCTGTATGCCCTGTATGCCTATGTATGCCTGTATGCCCTGTAAACCCTGTATACCCTGTATACCCTGTATGCCCATGTATGCCTATGCCTATGTATACCCTGTATGCCTATGTATACCCTGTATGCCTATGTATGCCCCTGTATGCCCTGTATACCTACCCTGTATACCCTGTATACCCTGTATGCCCTGTATACCCTGTATACCCTGTATACCCTGTATACCCTGTATACCTATGTATGTATATGCCCTGTATACTCTGTGCCCTGTATACCCTGTATACCCTGTATACCCTGTATGCCCATGTATGTTTACCCTGTACCCTGTATACCTATGTATACCCTGTATACCCTGTATACCCTGTATACCCTGTATGCCCCTGTGCCCATGTATACCCTGTGTATGTACCCTGTATACCCTGTATACCCTGTATACCTATGTATACCCTGTATACCCTGTATGCCTATGTATACCCTGTATACCCTGTATACCCTGTATGCCCCTGTATGCCCCTGTATACCCTGTATACCCTGTATGCCTGTATGCCCCTATGTATACCCTGTATGCCCTGTATACTCTGTACCCCTGTATACCCTGTATACCCTGTATACCCATGTATACCCTATGTATACCTATGTATACCCTATGTATACCCTGTATACCTATGTATACCCTGTATACCTATGTATGCCCTGTATACCCTGTATACCTATGTATACCTATGTATACCCCTGTATACCCTGTATACCCCCTATGTATACCCTGTATACCCTGTATGCCCTGTATACCCTGTATGCCCTGTATACCCCTATGTATACCCTGTACCCTGCTGTATATGCCCTGTATGCCCCCATGTATACCCTGTATACTTATGTATACCCTGTATACCCTGTATACCTATGTATACCCTGTATACCCTGTATACCTATGTATACCCTGTATACCCTGTATACTCTGTATACCCTGTATACCCTGTATACCCTGTATACCCATGTATACCCTGTATACTTATGTATACCCTGTATACCTATGTATACCCTGTATACCCTGTATACCCATACATACCCTTGTATACCCTGTATATCCTGTATACCCTGTATACCCTGTATACCCATGTATACCCTGTATACCCTGTATACCTATGTATACCCTGTATACCCTGTATACCCATGTATACCCCGTATACCCATGTATACCCTGTATACCTATGTATACCCTGTATACCCTGTATACCTATGTATACCCTGTATACCCTGTATACCCTGTATACCCTGTATACCCTGTATACCCTGTATATCCTTCTTTTTTAAAGGTAATTTTTTATGTCACAAAAACTACTTGTAATGTTGTGACGTAACTCGTTTAACTAACATCACATTTCGGTATTTTCCACGAGGTTTAATGTGACAATTAAAAAATGCGTTTCGTAGCTACTACAGAATTCCCTTTATATCATTGTTTTCTTTGGAAAAGGATCTTAATATCGTTATGTCACATTCATGTCCATTACCGCTTGATAACATTTTGAAGGAAGGAAATGGCCTCTAGTAACACCAATTACAGCAACAGAACATTGAAGCTTACAAATGTCGCGGAGGACTTCTGTGTCCGGAAGCCAGAAATAATTTTGCTTAAAGTATCAAACATGCAGATAAAGAAATGTTTTCTGTATGTATGTCTATATTCAAGAAAATAAGAAATTCTTCGTAATAACAGCTGGATTTGTGTTGTATTTAGTTCCAGAGTTCTGCAAGGTGCAATGGCGACATAGTCATCCTGATGAATGGCGTTGGCTTCCCTTCCGCACCTCAGGTGAAATTTCCAATCACTGAAAAGATAACAAAAATGGCCATTTCCTCAGAAACATCTGTAATTGTATACTTGAGCGTATTACTATGTTTGGTTGCAGAGAAACCAATATTGAAATAGTCTATTTTTTGTGACTGTTTACTTATCAAAATGCAAATTGATTCTGTTTAACCTCCTCTACTTCTACTTTACGAAATGTTATGTCTGCCTACTGGCCACTGTTCATGACATCTCATCCATTTATATGGTCATAAATGTTTTCTTTCTGAAAAACATCCATCTTTTCGTAAGCAGTAATACGATTCCAAACTTAGATCGTAATTCTCTCTCAGCAAATTACCTTAGAGGTGTTCTTCCTTGATCGTTTGGCAGGCAGATTCAGCTCTTTTTCAGTAAGCGAGTCCTTTAGGCTATCCAGTATATTTCCTGCATTAACGAGACGATACAATCTGGGTTAGATATACCCCTACATGGAAAACTTAACCAAGTTACGATGAAAAAACATTAATTTTAAAATCAAGCCATGTAAGACACGCGGGACTAGTGCCAAGCACTATCGCACTTAAACAGTTTTGGCCTGCAGACAATTATATATATATTTTTTTAACTAAAGTGTCACCATTCACTATTATGCACTATTTTCTATTCAATAAGCTTCTGAAGCTTTTATACCTCTTCTTGTTTTTTTTTTAGAGCCAGTTGGTTTGTTTTGTTTGTCCATGGTTTCTGCTTCTACAGGAAAAAATGATACAAAAGAACTAAGGAAGGGTGGATAAAGAGAAAAAAAGGAAGAAAAGATTGAAGAAATTTAAATTAAAGTAACAAACACGGTGATTAAAATATCGTGGAAGCAAATAACATAAATGTCACCGTAATAATTGAGTGACTGGAACCTACAAATGAAGCTTTTCGTAGTATTATGTAAATTAATAATGTCATAACTCTATTCTCACCTTGTACTGCATTTACTAACAAGATATCATCAAGCTCCTAAAACAGACAGAAATTTATTGCAAGAACTCGCGTTGAAAGGACCCTTTTTAACTCAAACAGGAAACGCGATGCAAACTTACCATCTATAGGTGACATGCTCATAAACAGTAGAAAGAAGATTCTGTTAACAGGAGTACCGCAATCGAGCAGAGCCCTTGACGAAACCAATAACAAAGTTCACGAAATAAATTTCCATGTGATGACAAATGCTACAGAGGATAAAAAAATAAATTTGAAAACAACATCTATAGAGAATATTTCTCACATACAAACCAGTCTTAAATCATTAATCGATAGCAATGACGAGAGTTCTACGTGTAGTGATGGTGAAAACGTGGAGAACAGTTTAAAGGCGAATGTCGAAAACTTTGTCATTCTTAGAAACGCTTTACAGTGGTGGAAAATGAGCAAGATCGTTGAGGAAAAACAGGGCCAAAACTATTCAATTTCAAGAAGATAGTGACTTATGTTAGACCGTTAAAAACAAAGGCATTAATGGAAAATGAAACAGTAGCTGGAGACCCAACAAAAAAGTGACAGAAAAAGGCTTACTGAACTAGCCTCGACTTGGGGATTTGACATTGTTGAGGTAACGGGTGACGGCAATTGCCTTTTTACGGCAGTCGCAATGCAATTGCAACAAATGATGAGCTTGAATGCACATAATGAATCATTGTTAATGTCGCACCTTGCGGAACAGATGGGAATAGACACATCTACATCCATCAACGATATTGGTAACATTCTCAGGAGTAAAGTCGTCCAAGAATTGAAGGGAGAACGAGTAGATTTTTATCAGTCATTTCTGCCCAGTGATGTAAACTTTTTTTCGGAGGCAGATCGTTTTATCCAATCGGGAACGTTTTCAGGTCCGCTAGGCGATCTTATACCTCTAGCAATCGCAAACGTTATTCAAATACCTTTATTTGTCTTAAATCCAAGTTTTTTGACTCCTTTTGTGATGATTTCTCCTGAAGGGATGGTGCAAGCCTCAAACGTCGTCTATCTCGCGTATAATGCAAGTAGTCCAGGACACTATTATGCGCTAATTATCCCCCAACGTGATCAGCAGGAGCGATTCACTTCTGAAACAAACAGCAATCTCGATGCTCTCGAGAGTCAGTCCACGCTTTCCACGGAGAAAGTGCCAATCTCAACTCCAAGAAAACCATGTCGATGCGGAGAAAAAAATAAATACAAATCAAAAGCAAAAGCGTCAAGGAACTACAAAGGCAGGTGCAAGTGCATCAACGAATACGGTACCTGTATGAGCGCATGCAGTTGTTGTGGATGGTGCCAAGGCAAACAATGGGAAACCAAAGGCTTCCTCGAGACAAAAAATGTAGAACACCGAGAAAGCGAAGAAGTAAAAATACAGGCATACCGTGAAAGCGAAGCGATCAAGACTTTCACTGGAAGAAAATGACGAGAAAATCAAAGATCCTGGATTGAATGAGCTCGAGTTCTTTGTCATGCATGCTATTATCCAGCATGTCAACTCAAAGAATGATGTCAAAAATGACAACAGTCATTTTTGTGACATGTTTAGCAAAATAGTCAAAGTCGTAAATAGTTTCGCTTTTCTAATGGTTCTTCCCATATTTCACCATTCCTTACGGGTGCTTTACGATGAAAAAAGAAAGTATGATAAGCTAAGGAAACGTTAGATACTAGATAGTATGTGGCTCTGTACCGTGCATGGACGTAATAGTAAGAAAACACCATATGATCGATAATGAGAACCGTATAATTTTATGCAAAGAATATCAATATAGTGTGCTTACTCTCACCAGATCTATATGAGATTCCCAAGAGATTCTAAACTCATAGTTGTTAAATTCGCTGTAAAGTTTTATTTATGTTTTGAACGCGAACCTGGGA